GTTGGCATGTGATGATCTGGAGCTTTACTGCCCAGAGATGATAATAATCCTATTGTATGGACTGAACCACAAATGTGAAAAATCCTGCTGTTCCTAGAAGCTGAAGGGCTGAAGAGTTCTGAAGGGCCTCTTGTGATCTAAGATAACTTGGCCAAGAATCCAGTCTGACACACCCATTTGCTATGACTTGTTTTAAAAGGAACATCCACTATATCCCTACCATTACATGATTAAACTACTATTGCTATTTCTTACTCTTTCCTTTATCAGGTTCCTTGATGTCTAAAGGCTGCACGATTAGCTCACTTAGCTGTCTGCTGTCTGCTTCATTAGCTTAAGAAGTTGAAAGAGGGAGAATAGCTGGGGAACGAAAGGAAAAGGTTGGTTTATGGATAGGCTGCAAACACAGAGCTGAACCAGCAGGATTCAGCCAGCTGGCCGATCAACTGAAAAGAGCCTCATGCTATGGTTTACTAGGACCTTGAATTCTGCTAGAAGCTGTAACTTAGAAAAGTGAGAGCATTCTAGTAGCCCATACAAAAAAAACTTACCCTGATAAAAACAATCATGTACCTGATACTGTAAATTGATAGAAACTATTACGGTTGTGCAGCAGTTGAGCAAATTTCTTCAGCTGCAGAAGGTGAATCCAAGAAAAAAACACCTTTCTTTTTACGGTATTCCTAACAGGCACTGTGAGTGCTCTAAATCTGCACAGCCTCTGAACTTATATCTTCTCCATTTAATTAAATTGGAATAATTCCTTTTTATAGATGCTAAGGCCGGTTTTCCATTGGTATTTTGTTTGCAATAAGTCAAAGCAGAGAAGGAGCTGATGTTTCCAATCAGAGATTATAGTTGTAACATAATGTTCTCTGTCAACTCAAGCCTTCTCCAGATGTATCCATCCATATTAATATGTATTATGATAGAAAAATATATTGGGATTTCTGGCTGACTTGCTCAAAATAGTTACAAGCCACATGAGACGGGAAGTAGAAATACCATATTTATATAACCAAACAGTCTGATTATTACTGTAAAATACTTTACTAAATGCAAACTGAGGACATGCAATTGTCAAGTCAAATTTCTGCAAAGAACTAGTTGAAGAATGCCACAGAGTGTCCGGCTCTTTTGCCTTCAGAAGGAAGAATTAGGTATGAATGATATTCTAATAATCAGATAGTAACACTTTCTCACAATATATTTATCAATAGGTGATTTAAGCATAGTTTACTCAAATAACCTGAACTTGTAAAACACAAAGGACATAAATTACGTGGGCTAGGTTAACTGAAAATGTTAGGTTAAAATATGGCTGATGAAATTTCTGCTTATCTTGATTAGTTTGTATCTGTATTATCCTAAACATATTTATTATATACTAGTTCGATACCCGTGCTTTGCTATGAAACTATGTAGTCAGAGTTAGTTTTTGGGAAGTAAAATAAGGGGAAAAAATTCCTTCTCTGTTACAAGCATCCATCAGTATTCATCTGATAGTGTCCTGTCAGTGTGTGAAGAGCTGAGGGCTGTTTGGAAACTGAAACATAATTTGCTGGGTGAGCAAGGAGACAGCAAGGAGCCTGGGTGTGACTTACCTCAACTGTTCTGTACTAAAGCTGGTTGCTGCTGTGAAACTGAAACAAACTCCTCTCCTCTGCTTGTGTTTTGCATTTGGAACAGATTTCTTTTCAGGTGGGGAGTAGAACTCCTTAGCATCAGAGCATGTAAATAATATATGAAATAGTAATGCCCTGATGGTCATTTCAAAAAATTCTTTCTTAGTGAGCACCTAGAAGCCAAGAGAACCATACGTGCCAAATTTCAAGTTTGTACGCTTTACGGTTCTGGAGATTTTGTGATGATACGTGAGTGGTATTTCGCTTTTATATATATAGATTTACTGCACAATACTAAAACATCTTTATAAATAGCCATTCAACCATTCAAATGTCAGAGCAATAGCAATGGCACTTAGACTTACAGACTGCTTCACGGTGCTTTATAGCCCTCTCTAAGCTTAGATATGCTAAGTCTAACTAAATAATTATTTCAAAACTTGCTGCATTGTTCAAATGGGGAGCAGGAGATTGAATGAGGCCTTTGCTTGCAGAGGTGCCTATGAATGGAGGGAGCCCACCAGCTTTCATTCAGTTCGAATTATGGTCCTTTACCAACAAGAGCTAGGGAAGAAGATGGAACATTTTTTGTCTTCCATGTGTTTATGGTCTCCTAGTCCAGCAGTTCCAGCCAGCATGGCCAATAATCAGGGATGATAGAATATAGAGTAAATCAGGAAGATCATTCTTCATTCTCTGATCCAGAATTTGCATAGTTTGAAATGCTGAGATTGGGATTTAACTAACAGCAGTATTACCAGAACTATCAGTGCCCAATGAATATACAGAGTGCAAATGTTTTTATTGAAAAATGCCATCAATGTTTCTTCTACTAGATCTGCTTGTGTAATCATAATAAATCTTGAGATTTGTTGCGTAAGGATTCGATCATGTCCAATTACTCAGTTATAAGCCCCATTAAAGTCATGGGACTTGCTTCTGAATAAACACTGATGCAGTTGCATTACATCTCAGTTTGTCCAGTGACATGAAAGAAGCTACTGTATAAGGCTATAGTCCTTCACACAATTATCTGTGAGTAAGCCCCACAGCAGACCTATTTCTGAGTAGGCATTGTGGAATTTCTGCTGTTATAATTCTACTGACCAGCAAGTCAATCCCATTCAGTTGAATGGGATTTTAACATCTGAATAAAGCAGGCTTTGCAAATGCCTAACTCTGGATCATTTCCAGTAAGCCAATATTTATTGCATAAATTGGTATCACATGTTTCAGTATTGCACACAGTTGTTTTTAAAACTGGGAGTGACTGTCTGCAGAGATGGAACTATGAAAATTCAGAATAAAAGGTGGCCATGATTAATTAAGATGACAAGTATAAAGCCGACAGTTCTTGCATTAGAAATATTTGGGGAGATATTGCTTTAAAACCCCAGAAAATAAATCGGTGTTCTGATGGCCATGTGGATAAACCAGAGGTTATGAAAGCCACTTGGTTAATGCAGGTACAGTAGGGGTGGGATCCGACAGGGTTACCAATTTGGTCATTAACAAGGTTCGGTGATTTACAATGTGCTTCCCTGCACGCTGCGTGTCATCAGCATGCTGCGTGCAGAGAAGCAGCCTTTCAAAAAGCCCCTTTTTCCTGCTTTTTAAACTGCAGCTGTGCCTCCCACAGCAGCTGAAGTTGAAAAAATCAGGAAATAAAGGTCAGGTAAGAGCCCGGGTGGGCAGGTGAGCAAAAACATCAGCAGACATAGAACTGGTTCTATATCTGCTGCTCTTCAGAGCTACCAGTTCTACAGAGGTGGACCGAACCGGTAGAAACCCACCCCTGAAGTACAGTACTCTCATTGTGGAGGTGAGTATGCAAGTTGTCTTTGCATACAGAGCCAGCTTTGCTTGTGCAGGAGATCCAGGATTCCAGAAATACAAGCAGATCACAGCTTGAGTGCCTGGAGAACTACTGCAGATGAGCATAAACCATGCCCAGGATGGTTAGGGAATACACGAGTTGTGATCTAGCACATGTCATGGCACCATCTCAGGGAAAATTGTAGATAGGACACACCTGTGCTAGAGGGAGGATTGATCTGACTGAGGATAAGATTTTTTTTTCCACCTGTGAGTTTGCATAAAGTAGTGTTTCTCAATCTTTGCAATGTCAAGGTATATGAACTTCCACTCCCAGTATTCCCCAGCCAGCAACACCTTAACGTTTTTTGAAGTTGAGAAACAACTTCGCAAGGCAAAATGACTATGTTAAAGCCACACCTGCCAAAGCCAAAAGGTACAGTAGCCCTTTTATAGAGCTGGATGGGAGCTATTCATTTCTATGGAAGAAATGGGCACAGGGGTGTGGACCCCTGCTACAGATGGGAATTAGGACTACACTTCCAAGATATCCCAGTTGCAACTCAAGTCTGTCCTTCATTTTTTAAAAAGTGTGTTCTATGCACAGTGTGCTTCCACATAGTATACATATAGTATAGCACACTGGTTTTGGAAGTCATTCACACCACAGTGTTCAAAATGCTGAGAACTGACTTTTGTGTTCAGTAACAGGGACCAGAAAAGACCAAACTCAATGAATGAGCTCCATTTACAACACAGAAGCCAAATTCCAGACTGATTATATTGTTTCATTTTTCTTCTGCAAACTGAACTCTCTCAGAAAGTTACTGCAAAGAAATTTTGGAGGGATGGTACCCATCCTGGCCAACCCCCTGCCTCCCACAACTGTGTCAGGCTCAATAAGAGGCCCACATACAAGAATTTAGCAGCAAGTTCTTAATTTCTAAATTCAAGAGACATATATTTGAGAGGAGCTAATCTATTGCACCGTTTTGGACTGCAACTCCTTCTAAAACTCAGTTTTTTAAAAAACAAACCTCCACCCCAAACCAGTTTCAATAGTGTGCATCTTTTTTTTAAACATTTTTAACCCAAAGAGCCTCATTTTTAAACTCTCTCTCTCTCTCTGTGTGTGTGTGTGTGTCCGCGCACGCACACATTATCCCGCTATGATCTTTCTAGCTCTTTCCCTCCTCCAGCACTACAAAACTTAAGGGTGGGTGTGCCTCTTGTTCTCCGCTGGCAACTCCGGAGCCCTTCACATTCGGACATGCCGTGTTTTTTAGCACTAATTTTGCGCGCGGGCACACACAATACATATTTAAAATGCTCATCTCGGCTTGCAAGAGGTGGGGGTCGGGAGAGAGTCACAGACAGACAGAAATCCCCCCCCCCCTCGAATGATCTCAATTTAGATACAAAGTTCTGAAAAGTTGCTCTGAAGTTGCAAGACATCGAGGCGCGCTAATCCCGGAGCAGCCCCTCCTTTTTTCAAAGCAGACCTTAGCCAAAAAAACAAAAACAAAAAACCCGGCCGCCCAGGAGTTGAATCCAACGAACCTGGTTGCTACCGCCTAGTCGTGCCGTTGAGCTAGGGGGAAAATTTCTTCTCCCTTCCAAACCGCGCAGTCCTCGCCCGCTCGGTGGCGGTCCTCGCAGCCCGCGGACACCCAATCCCCGCTGCAGGAAGACCACAGCTGGACTGCTTCCTTCAAGTTGGAGCCACTTACAGGTCTTGTGCCGAGGGTGAGTCACCCTCCGCCATGGAGGAAAGGAGGCTGGGGCGATGGCTGGCAAGACGGACCCCTGTCTTTAAGCCTACACTTGCAAGCACCAATGTCGATGCAGGGGTGGAGAGAAAGAAGCAGGGATCCCCGTGGCTGCGAAGGCGAGGGCTAAACAAATGTCTCTTTTCCCGGGATTCATTTCAAGGCTTGCCAGGGGCCAATGAGTCATGAATACACTTCTCTCTCTCCCCTCCTCCCTCACACACACACACCCATTCGCGTACAGCAGATTCACACAAACACTCATTACAAGGAGCGCAGAGTAGCTTTCTGTTGACGCCTTTACAAAAATCTCAACCTTCCAAAGATTTCTTCGTTTTAAAAAGTCATTTGAGCAGCAGCCATTCCGGAATGCAGGAATACAGGCTAGCTGCCTCCTCGTAGGTTACTGCGTCGCCCCCTCTCTGGCCAGCTGTTACCTGCTGCGGTCCCATTTCACTAGGTGACTTAAGAGAATGCACCCACGTCCCAGTCTAAAAAGTCTCCCAAAAAGGCACTCTGTGTGGCTGCTCAGCAGTGATGGGTCTTTAAGTTTCTGCTTAAGTGACAGAGGTCCTATGAATTAGCTGCATGCATTTCTTCAACACAGCAAGGCAAAAATGTTTGGTTTCACAGCTCCATCTCAACTCAGCCATGGTTAAGCCCCAAGGAATATCAGTCATTGGACAAATTTGTTGCCCCAACTTAAATTCCTCCCATGGTCAACAATATCTTGCATGTTTGAACCCAGTGTTTTCAACCTCACCGACTTTGAGATGTGTGAACCTCAACTCCCAGAATTCCCCAGCCAGTCAGCTTAACTAAGGTTGTTTTCTTGTGACCAGTTTCAACTCTGAACTTTAAGCAAATGTAATTTTAATAATTGTAAACATATTTTTTTTTTACTCCATCCCAGGACTTGGCAAATATCTTGGTCTTCCCATTTATTATTGAATTTTATATGGCTGCCCACATCAGTTCAGTGACTCTGGAAGCTAACAATACATAAATGCATAATATAACAGGATAAACAAACAATATTATAATGCAATGAGACTCCTAATAAACTATCTCACAGCTCATCACTGTCCATCTGGTCCTAGTCCCTGACAGAAACGCCAAGACTTCAAAATCTAACAGGATTAGGAGCAATAGAATCTCAGGTGTGGATAGTGCTCTCTTGAGTTGGGCAGCACATCTTCCAGTTGGATAACTGGTATCCCATCATGGTCCTTGTTCTCTCACTAGAAAACCAATTAAACAAAATACTCTTCATGCAACACAGGGACAGCAGTGGAATTCAACTCCATCTGATGCAGCCATAATTGATGGCCTAAGTGGCTTTAAAAAACAAGATCATGCAAATTTACTAATTAGTTTGTACAACAGACTCTGCTTTATCTTTAAAATATGCATAGATGGCCCTGTTAACTATCATAAACATAAGAGGGATACCACATTGGTGCCATAGCCATCTGTAAATCACTTCAACAATGTGATGAATTCTTTGTGCAAATGATGCATGTGATGTCAATTGCTTCCTTACTTCTCTCTCAATACCCATGTATAATGCAGATTGTACATTTAAAGCCACAGTGCCTGAATTCACCATGATATCAGTATAAACACTGCTTGTATGTGTGAACACAGATAACCAGGGCAAGCATGAGCTTCCCAAAAGACACAGTTGCTTTCATGCTTCAAGGAGGGATGCTTCATCTGTCCTGACATTTTTTTTATGAGTAGCAATAACACGTACAGTTATATACCCCTTCACAGCCCACTCGAAGCAGTTTAGAGTCAGCATATTGCCCCTAACAGTCTGGATCCTCATTTTACCGATCTCAGAAGGATGGAAGGGTGAATCAACCTTCAGCTAGTGAGAAACAAACTGCCGAACTGTGAGCAATCAGCGGTCAGCAGAATTAGCCTGCAATCCTGCATTCTAACCACTATGCCACCTCTTAGTCAGCCCCACTAATGATGAATATTAACAAGCCAGACCTGAGGGCAATGGGTCTCTTCTCTTTTGTACCCTTCTAATTGCCAGTTCAAAAAATTATTCAGAGCTTGGAATCAGCATATATAGCCATCAGAATTAGTAACCAGTGATTTAAATGAATTAAAAGCAGTTTATTGGCTTAATCCTTGACCTGTTCCATTCTTTTAAACTCAACAGTTTAAGAATTTGAGATGTGTCCCATGGTGACACTTGGACCCAGAATCAGGCTACTGCATTCGCTTTAAATATTTTTGTGACTTCAGGTCAGAGTGGGTTGGCGATGGGTCCAAGCTACAGATAAGTCAGAAATGTTGCTGAGCATTTGCAGGAACTGGTTTGTTCAAGTTTATTCCAAACTTTCCTCTAGTGATTTCCCCTTTAGGAAAGGGGAGGGGTAATGGAAGATTAGTATCTTTGATAAAATGCCAGAAGCAAATCAGGTTCAGGAACATCATTTTGAAAGAACTGCAGTGCTGAAACCTTTATCCCACCCTAAATGCAGTGGGAAACAGAAAATACTAGCCCATGCAAAGTGGAAACATATCATTAGCTATCACTTGCCAATTCTTACCACAGTGTTTATCAAACTTGCGAACTCCCAGAACTCCCAGCTAGCAAATTGCCAAATCTGAGAAACATTGCAATAGAGTGATAGATTATAAAAGGCAATAGCAGCTTATTCTTTCCTGAAATACATTTCTTTGTTATTAGGGAAAATGCTTCCTTGTTTAGATTACTAATTTGCCATACTGAATCTATAATTTTGAAACCCAAATTGACATTCATATGTGACATTGTAATTTGTTCTGATGCTAAAGTATTGTAAAGCATAAAATGTGCATGCAAAAGACCTGTTCTCCCTTGGGCTCTCTAGCTTCGATCATAATATTCCTAATATTTTTAACACAACCATGTTGGCTGCAGGATTTTAGGGTTTCCTGACAAGAGGACCTTTGTATTGCCTCTTGGGCAAGGTTCATCTTTTTCTTGCCACTTCATTTATTCTTCTTCCATGAGTTCAGTCCAAGGACAAGAGGAAAATGAGTTTAAGTTCCTTTACTCATGTTTGTGTACAATGATCTTTGCACAGAGATAGTTAGACAAATACACTCTACTGTCAGAGATTGGCAAAAGGAGGGCCTCTAAGGTGGGCCTCAGCAAGGGCTGGGGAAGCCTCTGATTGTCCTGCTTATAAAATTAGAAGCCTCCTTTCAGACTTTTTTTTTTTTTTAAAAATGCTAATATGAAATAGCATTTGAAATAGGAGTTGGTATTCCAAGGGAAATCCTCAGGTTTGTCTCCAACTACCTCATAGTCAGTGGTGGTATTCTACCGGTTTGGCCCGGTTCTGCCGAGCCAGTAGCGGCGATGAGCAGTGGAGACCGAACCGGTTCTCTCCACTGTTCTGCTGTTGGGCCCACCCGCCCACCTGGGCTCGCATACTCACCTTTATCCAAGGGTGGGATTCATTTTTTTAAACAATCAGTTCTGTGGCTGTGGCATAGTTGGTGGGTGTGGCTTGGTGGTCATGTGACTGGTTGGGCGTGGCCAACTCAACATCATTCACATCGAGGCACGCATCACCCCACCTGGCCTCTCGTGACTGTGGGATGCTGCAATAGTCGTAAGTGTGAAAAATGGTCATAAGTCACTTTTTTCAGTGGCATTGCAACTTTAAATGGTCACTCCACACAAGCAAAGTACCAGCAAAGGAAAGAAAAAAACTCCAGAGACGTTCCTGAAACAGGAAGTTTAGTCCTGCCAAGAATGTAATAAGGGTTAATGGAGAGGCAGTTTCTGTAAGCAACACCAGAATGTTTCCTTCCTGCCTTCCTTACAGGATTAGGCCAGTAATTTCTTCTAACAACTGGTTCTCTGAACTGCTTAGGATGTTAACAGGTTCTAGTGAATAGGTGTGAACCGGTAGAATCCCACCTCTGTCTTTATCCTCTGCTTTTGAAGTGCAGCTGCTTTGCGCAGTACAGCAGAGTGCTGCACGGCAGCCGCTGAAGCAACTGGGAGAGTAAAGGCTTTCAGGAGGTGAGTTGGAACAGCTTTGTGCCTGTGCAAAGTGAAGGTTTGGCATGTGCGCATGCACAAAGTGTGTGAGTATGCACAAAGGACGCCCACCAAGCCATGCCCAATAAGCCAGTGGTAAACTTTTTTGAAAACACACCACTGGGGGAGAGGGACATATGGTCAAAGAAATATTAGTTCCTGTAATTTAAATGCAATATTTCTGCTAAAGCACTAAAGCAGAATAAGACTGCATTGAGTATTTTAGCAGTTGCATAATTCTGCAAAGTGCACGTTTGGCATGTACGTAAAGTGCATCCACACACGCAAAGTACATGCATGCACGCAAAGTGTGTCCACCTATCCATGCCCATCAAACTGGTGGTAAACCTTTTTGAATCCCACCACTGCTCATAGTCCATTTCTATGGAGATTCCCAGTCATCCAAGTCATGGTTGTCTCAAAGGAATCAGCAGCAGCTTCTTGGATGAAAAGTGAAACATCTTCAAAAAAAAACCCCAAAACCCCAGAAAGTCCAGTTGCCTCTTGAAAAAGCACCTTTGGGACACTCATAGTCAATTGTTGTGGAGAAAACTGGGAAGAGAGGATAGCAGTTGTCTTCGACTTACAACTGTAATGGAGCCTGGAATTTCCATCATGATGGATGTAAGTCGAGGCACCCACATGACTGAACTCAATTTTATGACCTTTTTTTTGCAGCAGTCATGAACCAAGCACCATGGTTGTTAAGTGAACATGGCAGCAAACACTATGGTCATTATCAATGTATTCCTATGGGCATTTTTTTGCTGGCAAAACCATCATAAATTGTAGTCATGTGATTATGGAACCCTGCAGTGGGCCAAAGGTGAGCCAGTTGCCAAGTGCCTGTGGTGTGGTCATGTGACTATGGGGATATATGCAATTAGGTCAGAAGTAGCTTTGGATGGGGGGGGGGTTGTTGCAGGGGTGCAATTCAACCACCTTGGCCCACCTCGGGAGAAGTGGTAGGGATGATTTGAATCAGTAAAAAAATCACCCCAGTTGCTATTACTAC